TCAGCAGGACTTACAGACACCAAACTTAGCAGTTTTATTCATATCTATATTCTGAAGGTTTTTACTGAGGGGTTTGTTCGTATATCATTCACCTGAGTTTTTATTCCTAAAAACGTGATTAAAATTTACTTTTTTCACAGTATTTTTTTATTTATGCAGTGATAAAAAGAGAAATCCAAAATCCCTTCTGTAAAAACCTTTAACTCTAATATGTCAACAAAATCAAACAAGAATTTCGAACCAGGCTTTATCCAATGTTCAGAATTATTTTTTTGGAAATGTATGCAGATTAATGCATATTTAATTAGACAATGCCTTAATCAACTGGGGAGAGGTAATAACTAACATTTTTACCCTATTCACCTGTGCTGCCTTAATAAAAGAAAATGAGACATTAAACATCTATTCTTCAAATATTTACTCAGCACTCACTCGTGTTATGTGACCTTATACTTGCGTGATGTTTCTCACACATTCATAACTCTTATCACGTTCTCCTCTGAGGTTTGATCAGGGTGGCTGTGGCCCGTTTGAAGGCAACAGAACCGTGTTTACTGTGACCAGTGTGTGTATAAAGACGCTTCCCGATCCGGTCCAGAGCACCATCAGCTACATCTCATCTGAGGCCTTCGCCTTCACTCTCATACTGGCTGAAGTGTAAGTGTGTGTTTATGTCCTAACCAGGTGTGATGGAATCAGGGTTATTACTGTGAATTAAAAATAAAACCATAAAAAACACTCAAACATTAACTGAAAAAAATATGATATATGCATAGTATATATAAAACACTTTTTTAGCTAGTTGCAAAGGCAACCTTTCTCTTTTATTGTTTAGTTTATGTTGACGTTCTAAAATAACTAAACTGTAAAAAAATATATCATTTCACCTTAAAAAGTAAGTGTTGTGCTGTCTTAAAATTTTAAGTTTAGTCAACTCAATTATCCAAGTTGTCATATATTTCAAGGTGACTAAACTTAAATTTATAAAATGGATAGTTCCGGTCCTTGATTCTGATTGGTTGAGCCACGTTCGAAGCTGTTGTAAATTACTCTACAAACATACACCTTTGTTTACGTTTGTGTTGCTCGGCAACCACTTTGTTGCGACCACAACTGTTTCTGAGGAACTACATTGTTTGGTGGAAGAATACTGATTTTATTAATATCATTACACTTTATTTGCTCTGTTTTATTTTGTGAAACCTTACTACGTATATGGAATAACTGTTTTATAAAAGCAATAATCCCCGTGAAGCCGTGGTTTACAGTGAATTTATAACAGCTCCGCTTCACGTCATACCTAACAACGCCCCTTAGCTGTTATAAATTCACTGTAAACCACGGCTTCACGGGGCTTATCGCTTTATTTTATGGCAGCATGACCACTTACTTATAGTGGAAAAAAATGTCTATGTAAAATTAAATAAGCTAAAACAAAAACTATTTAGGCGAATAAAAAACTAATAAAAATTACAAAAATAAACGACAAAATTACTAAAATATTAACTTAAATTAAAATGAAATAAAAATACAATCTAATGCAAAATATTAACTACATCGATGATACTAAATTAATAATACTGGACGAAGTCAATGCTGTTTTTTGTAAGTAATGTGTTTGACTGTACTGGTGTTCATTTATTACCCATTCATCTGTTTCAGTGTCATACTGACGTCGTACGTGTCTCGTGGACGAGCGAATCGTAAAGCCATCGAGCGACTGAAGGACATGTTGGTGATGGTGAGTGTGACGTGAACTGAGCAGAAGTCAAAGATGTACAGTTTCATTAATTGCGTTAATTTATGCAAAGTGACATACGAATAAAGGAAAATACGAACACAATGTTCAGTGTTTGCCAACATGATGCTCATGCAAGTAATGCAATTTCAGATCACGCTTGCGACATTTCCTGTCCTATTTCTACGACTGAACTCTAGATAAAAATGTTATAAACCCCAAAACTACAGATATTAATAATGTCTATCCTTCTGTGACATTCAGACTGTATTTTCGTATGTATTTTCTCTACAGTGCAGCTCTGATAAACGCTTCCTGGTGAAGCAGCACTCGACGATCATGAGACGACAGCAGAGAACACGCTAACATCACGTAAAAAAAAAAAACAATAAAACTGAAACAAATGGTAACTTAGAAACAAGAAATTAAACTGCTCTAACATCTTGATCTGAAGCTACTCAGCAAAAATGGTCGGTGTGTTTATAAGTGTCATGAAAAACTAAAGTACTCCAGCTTTTGGCTGTAATATAAATAGACATCGAGGGAAAATAAAATAAATTCACCAAATGTATAATATTAGTCTTTTAAAGTTGAGGAAGAGGCAAGATTTGCACCGATTTCATCTCATTCGGAGCTTTATTTTCTGTACTCATGACCTCTGACCTCTAGGTTTATTATATCAGGTCAAAGTTCACCTAAATGTCAGTTAAATGCATAAAGGCCTGTTTACACCAGTAACGATAACTATATTTGCGTCCACAACAATGCACAATAACGTTCTGTTTATTACAGGCGTGCTGCAGTTTTGTTGTCTGTCACTTTAAATGTTTTTAAAGTCTGATGGATTTTGATTGGCTGTCAATGTTTTTATTGTTCATCAGATGGAAAATAATTGCTTTGAAAGTGATTCCAACATTTAGTTGGAAGTAGTTGTGTTGTGGAAATATTATAGTTACATTCACTGTCCTCGGTGTGAACGGGCCTTAAATATCAACATACTGTATCAGTACTGTAAAGTATGTTTATATTCTGTGATGTTTGTGGAAACATTTTTGCAATTCGTGTGGTAGTTTTAGTGTCTTTCAATTTTAAAACTCTTGGTCAGTATTATTAATCACACATAATATAATCATTTTGTTATGCTTTAGTTCCTAAAGTGTGTGTATATCAGTTAATTTGTTAATGTATTCTCACAATAGAGTGTTATATTCGTATCATTGATGTACTATTTTAATTTTTGTTAATATTTTGATTTTGATTGTATTTTATATTTTCAGTTTTTAAAGGGGTCATCGGATGCCCATTTTCCACAAGTTGATACGATTCTTTAGGGTCTTAATGAAAAGTCTGTAACATAATTTGGTTAAAATTTCTCAATAGTAGTGTAAAAACACCTTTTTTTTACTCTGTCAAAAACAGCTCTTTTCAAAGCAAGCCGTTTTGTAGCATTTTCCTTTAAATGTTAATGAGCTCTGCTGACTCCGCCCCTCTCTTCCGAGCTGCTCTCTGAGAGACTGTTTACTTTAGCCGCATTCATCGTGAAACTTGCTAATTAGCACATTATTAGGAAAGGTGATTTGCAAAGATTCATTACAAAACATTATACTCACTTCTTCTGTAGATGAGGCTGGATCACGAATGATTCGCGCGAACATAAACGCATTTATGTAGATCGGGGGCGCATTACCTTCAGAAACAAACATAATCCACTGCGTCTTCAGCGGCTCAGATGTCGGGAGTAAATGACGACTGCTGTTCATTATTACATCCAACAACAGAACACCTCAATCACTTAAGAGTCATTCTTGTCTACATCTGCTCCGGCGGTGAAACAATGGCGGACTGATGACAGTCAGTCAGGGCGGAGCTAAGGTAAGACGCCAGTCCAGTCTGTGCTGAAGCGCTACTGTCAATCAAACTATGGTGGGAGGGGCCTGTTTTTGTGACGTCACACAGACAGGCATCTGAGATCGGCTTGATTTGAAAAAAGAACAAACAACCACTGGGTGGATTTGTATCATTATAGGGTGGTTGTGTACACATACTGCCAACACACATTTCAGTTCAAACAACTTGTAAAAGTACATGCAGCATCCTATGACCCTTTAAAGTTTAGTTAAAGTTTCAGTAATTTTGTTGTGTTTTTGTCAGTTTAATAATAATAATAATTATTATTATTTTTTAAAATATGTCTTGTTTTTAAGTTTTAGTTTTTGTTATTTTAGTACTTCAAGTTGAACTAAATGAAAATTAGAAATGTTGTCTTGGCTGAAATAAAATAATTTCACAATTTTTGAAAAATATTTTATTTCAGTATTTTCAAGTGATGAAACTATTTTTTATGGTTTTAGTTTTAGCTAATTATAATAATAACCCTTGTGTTTGATTGTGTAAAAGAGTCGCTTGTTGCTTCAGTGACAGAGATGAAGCTCATTATCTCTGACGAACACATACTTACTGATGACAAGAACGACCTGCGTTGCGCTGATATCACACACACACACACACACACACACACACACACACACACTCTCTCACACACACACACACACACACACAC